CCCCAAAACCCCAAAACCCCAAAACCCCAAAACCCCAAAACCCCGAGTAGAAATTTTTGGATTGAAAAAAGCGAACTTTGGGATAATTTATTTAGAATGAAAATGAGAATTTAAAGACGAATTTAGGGTTTAAACATTAGTATTTTACTCATGAGAAATGATAATAATACCTTTAAACTTAAAAATTTATTTAAATTTATACATTTAAAACAAATTCTATCTGATAAACTAATTTCCCAAAATCATTATAAAAACCTCACCACACCAACCCCCCATTTCCTATCTCCTAAACCCCTCAACCCCTAAATCCCCACACCCTTCCCTCCATCCTATCTCCCCTCCCCTTCACCCCACTCCCCTTAAACCCCCCTCCACCACTAAAACCACTTATTCAACTTACATCCTTTCACTAAAATACAACTGGTTAGTCTCAAACTGTCCTTGCACCAGTCGCTTAAAATCCTCATCATTCTCCATAGCTTCTTCAAAAGATTTAGGCAGCCCATGTTTATCCACTACTTGTGTGTAATCTTCCTTCGCAGTAGAGATTTTCTTCATGAATTGTTTTTTACTCTTTTCGTTGGTTTTGGTGTAATTGGTCTTGTCGGATTTGGAGTGCATTTTTGTGAGGTTTTGTTTGATGGCTTTGAGGTCACAGAACATGTCGAAGTAATTTTCGATTTTGAGGAGGGATTTGGCGGTCTTGGAGGGGGTAGAGGAGGGAGAGGGGGAGAGAGGGAAGGGGTCTTCGGATTGGCGGCTGGAGTAGAGTTGTTTGAGGATTTCGGTGGTTGGCCAACAGCGGTTGTACTGAGGGTCACCATTGATCTTGTCCTCATCGTAGTGGGATTTTTTCATTGCTTCTACTTTGGTGAGGACGCTGAGGAATCCAGCAAAGCTTGGAGTGCTTTTACGTAGCTGGGATTTAATCATCTGATGGAATGATTCAAGGCCATTATTGGTTAGGGAAAGATCATTGAATATCTGCAGTTTATCATAGTAGTTCCAATCTTTGATTTTGAATTGCCCATCAATCCAAGTATTCTCAAAATATTCTAGAAAGGAAACAAAGCAAGATCCTTTTGTAGAGTACCAGTCTTTGATTGTAATGAATTTTCTGATTACACTTCCTGGCTTTCTGAAAGCAAGAGCTTTGAGTGAGAATATCAGTTGCTTAGTAAGCTTTAATATCTTCCTTTTTCTTAAACCTCATTTTCCTGCATTTGTCCAAAGGCATTTTACCAGATGAAAGAAGCAAGGGACTAATTGGGAATTAGGATATTCCTTCTTAGCAGTATTCATCAAGGAAAGTTCAAAATCTGTAGTGATAAACTTCGGGTTCAGTTTTAAGAACCTCTTTATCCATTGGAGTGTAATTTCATATGCTTTTTCTTTATTAGACTGCATCAAAACATGCCCTATTGGCATGTAGAGGTTCTTTCCTCTATGAAGTACTCAGATATTCACTAGTTGACTCCAATACCTTGGGCAGCACTTGAATGTTCCATCAATGAATAAATGCAAATTTGGATCTTCTATTACTTCTTGGGCAACTGATTGCTGAAAATCGGATCATAGGAAAAAGAAATATCTAGCTTGGTTGTCTATCAGTGCAAACGTTTTCGATTGGCCAAATTGGGTTTTCCTCAGAGTTTTTAGGCATTTAATATCGAATGAGCCTGGGTGTTCATATCTACCTAATAACTTCTTCCTTTCTTGGGCAACAATGCTTCATAGTTTCCTTCTACTGTGAATAGGGGCATTGGGAAAAGCCTTTTTGATTTTGAGTAATATGTCTGTGACCCTTTGATTTGAATCTTGTTTCACCATCATTCGGACTAACTCTAATAGTTCTTCATCATTTATTTGCGTCTTAGTAGAACTTGCATCAAGCATGAGAGCTTTGGTGTATTTTTGAGCTGCACTTTTCTTAGCATGCAAAACATGAGCATTCTTTGATAGTGAATGAGGAACAACTAATCTTCCATATTCTCCATTGAAGAAAAGTGGAAGTGTCTCCCATCTGCCTGTGCAATCCTTTTCAATACACTTAAACAAACTAACCATGTGTTTTTTGTAGTAAGCTTGCTCTCCATAGGGATTTCTACTATAATACAGATAGCCTTCTCTAATGATGGTTGCCTTATCACATTCTTCTTTGGTAAAAGTGAATTGTTCAATAAAAACTTCATCTTCAGAGTTGCTATCGAAATCACTGTTGTTTTCTTTAAAATCACTGTTTAATCTTCGCCTTTTCTTGATTTTATCTTCATCGTCTCCTCCATTAATCCCTCTCGTTATTTTAATAATCACTTTCAAACTTTTGGGGACTGCCTTCTCAGCCATATTATAAGCTACTTGCAGGTCTTCTTGGGTCTCAATATCAATTTCATCTCCATCTGTGTGGAAAAAGAAAATATTGTAGTCGTTCTTTGTGATTGGGATATCCCAAGAAGATATAACGTTCTTCTCAATTGTTTTAAAGAGACCAGTAATTGTGGCTGGAGTATCAGGAAGAACAAATCTATGTATCGAATAGCAAAGGACTACTTTTATCTCAGGTGTAGGGATAGAAGAGTCATTTGGTAGAGAAATTGTTTCTACTAAAGTATCCAGTTGTTCGGAATTCTTGGCAAATGGATCAACCTGCTTACAACTAAATTGCTCCGAAACAGATGCATCCTCTGCCCCAAAATTCTCTTCTTCTCCAGAGAAGCTATCTTCACTAATCGTGGTATCTAAAACAGGGCTACACTTAGTTTTAAATCCCTCTATCTTATCTGTAACTTTTTTGTTCCTAATATTGTCCTGCTCTGAATTCTCTTTCTGCCTTTGATCATTCCTATTATATTTCTTTTCTTCATATTTCTTTCCTCTCTTGGTTGTGTTCACCTCTTTAGCCTTCTCTGCTCCTTTAGCAGCTTCTGTTCGCTCGATCATGTCAAGGAACATCTTCTTCGATCCTGGGATATTTTGTATCTGGCTCTTAATAAACCTCAAAATTCTTTCAGTTTCTTTATCTTCCATTTCAGGTTGATTTTGTTGTTGCATGATCAATTCTGATAATTTAAAACTTTTCAGTTTTTGACTATTTTAGTAAATTATAAGAATTTTTTGAAATTTTGAAAAAATTGAAAATTTTTAAAGTTTTGGAATTTTAATAAAATTTTTGAAAAGTTGTTGGAATAGTTGTATTTTGAATTTTAGACATTTTTGAAATTTTTAGCTGTTAATTATACTGTTAAAGAATAAGGGTCTTGAGATGCTGTAGTCGCCGTTGATGAATCTTTTGGCTTCAGAATCGTCTTCGATGATCTCATTGATGCTGATGGGAAGCTTAGATTTGAGGGTCTCTTTGGATTTGACTAGCTTTATGTTGCTTCGTGTGGAATTCATGAGATGGTCATAATCTGTGTACATGTTTCTTTTTGGAAGATCTCCTTCGTTTGAACTGATATTTGACTCTTTCATTGATATAGAATGAGCAGTCCATGCTTCTTTAGTTTTTGAAGTTTCTACAAACATTGAAAAATAATTCTCTGACTCTCTCATATCCTTAGCTACTTCTTTCACATCTTTAATAGGCTCTTTGAACTTTTTCTCTATAAGCCCAACTCCATTATCCTCTTTCTTTCCATCTCCAGATCCAATTTCTTTGTCTTCCTCCTCATACTGTTGTGTTTTAGAATATAACTCTCTAAAAATCATAGTAGCAGGCCATCATCTATTATACTGCGAATCTCCATTTAGCTTATCTTGATCGAAATGGGCTTTCTTCATTGTCTCAACTCTAGCAAGGATGCTTACGAAGCCAAGAAAGCTCGGCTTGAGTCTCTTCATTTGTGAATGAATCATTTGGTGGAAGGACTCAAGACCATTATTGGTAATAGAAAGTTCTTCGAACCTATTAAGCTTCTCATAGTAATTCCAATCTTTAATCTTGAACTTGCCGTCCATCCATGTAGACTGGAAGTATTCAAAGAACTTCAGGCTTTCAGGCACTTTCTGGAGGAAATTCTTCCTGATTCTTTCAAAATGCCTGTAGACCGACAGAGGTTTACGAAAAGCAAGGGATTTAATCGAAAAAATAATCTGCTTCGTGAGAGGCAGGATTTGTTTCTTCCTTAACTGAGTCTTGCTGGCATTGGTCCATAAGCATTTTACAAAATGGAAAAATCACGGCACTAGTTGAGAATCTGGGTATATCTCTTTAGTTGCCTTTATTAAGCCAAGTTCAAAATCTCATGTAAGAAATTTGGGGCTGAGATTTAGAATGTTATTTATCCATTTTAGTGAGGTAGAGTAAGCCTCATACTTGTTAGACTGCATTAACACATGAGCTATAGGGATGTAGAGTCTTTTCACTCTATGATAGACGCAGATATTTAGAAGCTGATTCCAGATTACAGGGCATCATTTAAACGTTCCGTCAATGAATAAGTGTAAATTTGGATCTTCTCGTACTTGGTGTGCAATTTCTTCTTGAAAGTCTGAACAGAAATATAGGAAATAGCTTGGTTTGCCATCGATCAATCTAAAACTGAATCCTCTTCCAAAAGTTGTCTTACGTAATGTCAATACAGATTTGATTTCAATACGTCCTGGGGTATCTTGATGTCGAATTCCTTTAGTCCTGGCTTTTGAAAGCATAGCATCCATTTTCTTTTTACCAAAGAGTTGAGCTCTAGGAAATGCCTTTTTGATCATTAAACTCACTTCAGTTGCTGTTAAATTTGGATCGTGTAAGGATAAAGCATGGACTAATTTTCTGACATGAGGACGACCAATTACTTCAAAACTTGGAGTTCCGCCTGTAAGCATAGATTTTCACCACTTATTAATAAGTGATTCTTCAGTTTCCAAATTATGCTCCTCTCTAGGAGCATTATGGGAGATTAGTAACCTTCCATATTCTCCATTGAATTGGAAAGGTTGGGTCTCCCACATTCCTTTACATTTGTGTAAAGAGCATTTATAGATCATCACAAGATGTCTTTTTTGAGTACGATTTCCAAATGGGCCTCCTTTACGATAGTATTGATAACCTTCTCTTATTAAATCAAGGGTGTCACATTCTTGTATATCAAATGTATAGTCTTCTTGGAATCATTTATCGTCATCTGAGTTTGAATCAAAATCGCTTTCAACATGCTGAAACTTTTCATTTAGTTTCCTCTTGTATTTGATGACTTCTTTACTCTGTTCTCCATTGACCCCCCTCTCGACTTGGACGAGGATCTTGAGCCAAGGAGGTATTGCTTTTCTAGCGAGGTTATAAGTGCACTCTAGATCTTCTTGTGTATCTATCGAGCATTTCTCCCCATCACAATCGAAGAAGAATAAATTGAAATCTTTGTCTGCGAGTGGAATATTCCAAGATGAAATAATGCTCTTAAGGCAAACTAATCTTAACTCTTCTATAGTGGCTGGGACTTGAGTAAGAGTTTTCCGATAAATTGTAAGACACAATATCACTTTTAAGTCTTCATGATGCTTTTTGTGAGGTATGATTTTTCTATTGTTCTCTCATTCAGAATTGTATGGGTTCATCTTGATCGTCTCATACTTTTCATATGTTCTCTTAGTATTTTCTTGATAATCCTCAAGATCCTCAAATGTAGTCTTATCAGAACATAAATTTCTCCTCTCAATATCTTTATTACCCTTAGGGGTTTTGGGGTTTTGGGGTTTTGGGGTTTTGGGG